GCTGGTATAAGACAAAAAAAAACGGCCTCCATTTTTGTTTTATTTTCAATATTTCACTAGCTGCGACTTCAGCTCTAGAAACATAGACATCAAATTTCTTGCGAGACTACATTCCCGTGCCCAATTCCAGGTATGTACACATGTTTGCAAGTACGGCCTCAGGGTGGTGGCCGTCTTGCTCGTTTGGAGTTGTGCTTGGGCACGTCATAATCCGATTACGACGCCTAGCTAAAGCGCGAGACACATGGACGGCAGGTTCGTCCGATCCGACAGTCCGAACGCCACTCCGAATTGCCGCACGCGACAGTTTGAGACACACGCTTCCGACCTTGCATGCGACAGGACGATCCGTTCGGCTCCGCCCAGGCAAGCACTCCAGCAGAGATCCGCGTTCCTATACAGGGCAGATCTCTCGCCCCAGATTGACGGTTCAGCTCAGACGAGCGGAAAAGGAGGTTGTTTTTGCTAGCGTATGCATTTTTTGCTGGGGCCATCTTTCTCGAATGGGTCAGCGGGATTCACGCGTCCGACCCAGGTCAGTCGTCCCGTTTTCTTGTTCGTCCCGCCAGACCCAGTACGTCATCATGACGCTCCCGCTAGCTGTGGTAACATTGGCTGAGCGCTTCCGACAGTCCGTCTGCCGTGCGAAACTATCTGGCACGTCGGACGCACTCCGGATCGCCGATCCGACGTCTGAAGGCCGTACTTGCAAACAGGTATACGTTTAGAAATCGAATTTTGCAAGGCGTGCCAAATACGTCGGGGTCCATGCCGCCGAACTCTGTTGTTACCGGAGCTTTTTGTTTGTTTGTTTGTTTCTTTCTTTCGCTGTGAGCGTTTATTTTCGGCATTGGGTATTACAAAGAATGGCATCCCCCTAAACAAAGGGACCTTGGGGTACTCTACGTCCAACTGATACGATGTGGCTGGTGTATACCGTAGTAGTAAACTCAGCACACACCAGCTTTCCTCATGGCGAACTCTACAAGGGCGAATGCAACGGCCTCTGTGAGCGACGGCGCGAAGACCGTGACAGCCCTCCACGGGAGGAGTTGGCATACACCAAGTGTGCGTTGTCACGTGGCTCGCTCCAACACCGAGTTTTCTGGGGCACTAGCTATCGCTCTTTGCCGGGACACATGTTGAAACAAAGTAGAGACTTGCAGTTTCTACTCTGTTTCACCCTCGTTTATCCCTTTACAGCATGAGAACAATATTGGACTGCAAATTAATAACAACAGGTTAGATGCAAAATTCTGTGTAGGAAAGTACTAAAAGTACCATTCATTGTACTTAAAGTACCATTTCAAGTAGGTTTAGAAAACGTGTACTTTACTTGAAGCACATTCTATGAGTATGCAGTGCTCAACGAAACGAAATGAACCAGCGGAGCGCGTGGCCTCGCGTACCTGCTGCGACATCTGCAGGGAACAGCCGCGCAATCTGGTGTCGCGAGTCACACATGCGGGTCGGTGAGCCAAAGAGTCAGCAGTTCTTCGCCCTCAGAGCGCAACCCCCGATGGGTGATTACTTCAAAGCATGTATCTCAAACTTAATCGCTTTTTTTTTTATCATCGCGTGACACTCGCAATTTATATCTGTCGTTCAAATATATATACTGTAAAACCCTTAACGTTCGCGAGCCCTCAATTTTCGCTAATTTCGCGAATTGAAGAATTCGCGAAATTTAAGGGCGCGCGAAAATTTCGGTCCTTAAGATTTTCAATGCAGGCGTCTGGAATTCGCGAAATTTAGTGGTCGCGATTATGTCATCTGTGACCGATTCGCGAAAAATAGGGGCCGCGAAAATAAAGGGTTTTACAGTATATATATATATATATATATTTACACAGGGTGTTTCAGAGAACTCAGGCCAAATCGCTCCTGCGAAAACTACTCATCGCAACAAAAAAAAAAAAAAAAAAAAACTTGTGTCGTTTTGGTCCCGGGCCAGGGGCCCATTTAAAAAAAATTATTGAAGTACGGGATAATTAAGTTGTTAGTTATTTTTGCATAATTAACTTTTTTAATATTGTGTTTAAGGGCATGGTTTAAATTAAAAAATTGCTCAGCATCGTCGAAAAAACAGTAAATCAACAAATTGCAGAATGATAGAAGGCACGCGCATCATTTTACGGCTTTCTGAAAAACCGCACAAATTCGCCGGGTTCTTAAGTTTCGGTTTACTCTCGGAGCGCATCTTAGCCCCGGCGGCACCGCGCCCCGTGGAGAGATAGTGCAACCAGCCTCTGCTGCGTCGCGCGATCGACAGCGCAGCAGAGGTTGGTTGCACTATCTCTCCACGGGGCGTGGTACCACCGGGGCCGATATGCGCTCCGATAGCAAACTGAAACTTAAAAACCCGGCGAATTTGTGCGGTCTTTCAGAAAGCAGTAAAATGCTTCGCGTGTCTTCTATCATTCTGCAATTTGTTGATTTAGTGTTTTTTCATGATGCTGAGCGATTTTCTAATTGAAACCATGCCCTTAAAGGGATACTTCAACAAAATTTGAAATATTCCCGTCCTGTTCAAAAATAGGTTGAATATGATCCACAATATCCGTAAATGACAATCGCACGTTTGTATCTTAAGCCGGGTGGCTGTATTTTTCGTTATAAACGGCCCACTCTGGCAAGCGCTCGGAGAATACCCAGCGAAGACCACGTGACATCCAACGCAATCGTGACGTAGATCGTCTCAGGACGAGCAAAGCTACGGCGAGGCTGACGTCGAGAAAACGGCCTAGTCGTTACAGCCACCGAAGCGGCTGCTTTTGTACGAATTTTGAGTGACGGGTTAATCTTCTGTAATCTTGGAGGGGGACAATAGCGACTTCTGCGAGTCGGGAAGAGGAGAATTCCTCCTGCCCCTCTTCTCTCGTCGTGACCGAAGGCGAGACAACCTCCGTCACTAGCTGTCAAGGTTCCTAGACCGGCATTACAAGCAAGGCGTTAGCGACATCCACCAGGTGCTCTTTGCTAATCGTTTAATTCGTTTTGAAGTTCCTTTTCGTGACTTTTTAACAAGATATTGGTATGTTCGATGTGATGGTGCTTTTTTGAACACATATAGACCAAAAAATGAGCTCAATACTAAAAAAGTTAATTACTCAAAAATAATTAACATGTTAATAATCCCAGACTTTAATAATTTTCCTAAAAGGGCCCCTGGCCCAGGACCATAACGAAAAAAGCATTTTTTCGTTGCGATAAGTAGTTTTCGGAGGAGCGATTTGACCTGAATTCTCTTTAACTGCTACTATACACATCGGGGTAGGGCCACGCACCCTCGCCCCTAGGCTGACTTCCAGGCGGCGCAGCCTGTACCACGAGCCACGTGCTCCTCTGTTCGTATTTCATTTTTCACTCATAGTACTTTACCCGATTGCAAAATTCCTGCCAGCTATCATCATCATGTCATTCGGAGCCGCCATATTATAAGTTTTTTGCCATCTCCCATCTGTGGACGAGGCACGTCTGCATTCAGATCGGTTTATCTGATAATAGGAGAATATATTTACACATTCAGTGGGTTGCTATATAGTTTCGGTACAACGAATAGAAGAAAAACGACCACCAGACTGCAAATAAAAAAAATTGTCAGCAACGATGATGCGACTCATCATCGAAACGCTTCAGCGACTCGTCACTGAAGTGGTGAACTGACCCATTCAGGCAGGTGAACGCTCTTCATTGAAAATGCTGTGCGAAGAGATTGGACTGGACTGTCAGCACGTGATCACTTTATATTTACGACTCTGATTTCGCCGGAATCAATGTTTCTCGGCCGAAACTGTCTAGACGTACAGGCACCTCCCGATATGGCAGAAACCTGATAATTGGTCATAAGTAAACTACATGGCGCTTCTTTGTGTATATAGTCTATAACTACGATTACGGGTTCTCGTAGATTACTTTTCATGAAATTCGGAAAGTGTACTTTGGTATTTATTTATAGCTGGAAATTCTGGAGAGTTTATTATTGTTAAATTCACAATTCTCCGAAATTCTAAACTTGATTTTACTATGCATCACTTGTTTTTGTTGTTGTTTTTCAAAATTCAAAATTCAAATAGTTTTTAGACAAAAACATACACTAAGTTAATAAAAACTCACCGGCATCGAAATATATTTCTGCAGCGGCATTTGGTAATGGCACCCTTGCGATGTGAAGTACTAACTGCCCGCAACAAAACTTGCAAAGAAATGTTGCTTCAATAAACACCAATACTTTGCAATAGCCAAACACCTGAACGTCGTCGTTGGGAAGCATAAACGCTTAAGCTGTCCTTCTATGAAGTTCACAGGTCGCTTCACTGTAATAAAAATACAACCCATCCTCTAGGAAGCACAAATAGTATGACCCCAACTGGAAACCAGAGCAGTGACTTTTGTCGTGGCCCAGAAATGCATTGACCCGTTGCACTGTACATATCCTGAGGAGACAAACAGGAAAATTGTTTTCTTTTTTTCGAAAACCCCAAGATGACAAAAAAAAAATGAAGTGTTTCTTTTTCAGGATTGCTAACTTTGTGCTCAGCACATTTCATTTGTAATATAGTGTTCTTCTTGCTTTTCATTTTGCGGCTGGGACCTCAAAATTTTGAGTTTTTCAAACAAACCCGGATGAAAAAACATTTTATCGGCAAGTGGTTTTTTTTTTTTTTTTTAGTCTTTTAGGATTTATCCGAAAACACGGAATTTTATTTATGACTTTATTTACATGAAGTTTGACGGCGGAACTGGGGAAAGTTGCAATGTGCAGCGTTGTTGCAATGTGCAGTCTTCGAACTCCTAAAATGGTCAGCTGCATCCGAGCGTGCAGGAAATTGACGCAACTCAACATACACATAAACAAGCAACTATTCAAAGAACGGATAAAAATCGCTTCTCCGGAAAGTGAAACTGAAAATGATCGAAATCACTGGGCCCGATTGTTCGGCAGGCATCACTGCCACAGGTCACCGCTCATGTCTCGTAACATACGCTCATGTCCGCAGGCGACTGTTCTGGAACCGGGTGAGCCGCCAGGTGTACCGCGAGAACGAGATCCTCCGGCAGCCCACTCTCGCGCTCACACTCATCCAGATCGCCCACAAGGGCTACAGGGGATTCCTGCAGGGAGACATGGGCGCCAAGTTCCTGCTGGACCTCAGACAGCTTGGTGCGCGCCTACTGTTTCCGCGTGTCTGCTTCGCTGCGGTCGGCGTGATGGCTCAAGAAACGATCCAAACAACTTGAGCAGCACGCTGGCATGTTTTCTATGTTAGGGATACAAGTAGTCTCAGAGTTTTCGGTATAGGTATACCAATAAACCGCTAACAGCAATAAATTAGGATCTCCTTTTCGGCTCTATTATTTTGTAACCGCATTTTTTTTTTTTTTTTTTTGCAAGAATAAATCCTGAATTTAAGTCACACAAAGAAAAGGGCTAAACTGCGTACACTGAGGGTCCGCATTTCGATGTGTTACTCGGAAGCACAATGTACCCTGAACGAACTGGGCCCGTGCTGTGTGTGCGACGTCACGTGACGCCATCATGTCATGTGACGTCACGGTGTCAACAAAGTGTCACAAGTGTCACGTGACATCGCGGTGGCACATGACGTTACGATGTCACGTGACATCACGGTGTCGCATGAGGTCACGAGATGTCAGAGCCCTTGGTAATGGTGCTTCATGACGATCCTTCGTGATGGTCCTTCGTGACGCTTCTTCGTCGCAGTTCTTTCAGGCGGCTTTCTCATAGAATTCGGCTGATAAAACGCATTCTGCATTAAAATGTGAAGTCTGGTTGACGGCGCAGGCGCACTTGTGTCCCGGGGCGACCTTGCCCAGTACCGCGCCCTGTGGAAGGTTCCCGTGCGGAGCGTTCCCCTGGGCGGCGTCACGGTGTACGCGCCCCCGCCCCCGGGGGCCGGGTCCCTGCTGGCCTTCATGCTGTCCACCATGGACATGTTCCGGTCCTCCAAAGGAGACCTGATGGACGAGGGCGCGCTCACCTACCACCGCCTCGTGGAGACCTTCAAGTTCACCCTGCCCTTCAGGGAGGACCTTGGCGACGACCAGTTCGAAGACGTCGGAGACGTGAGCAACGGCTCGGGGCTCTTCGTTCCGTGTAGATGCCACGGGATGAACAGCAGCTAGTCCGCTGCAGAAAGTGCCTACCGTATAAAATAAAACAACGCAAAAAAACGAGACAAGAAACAAGGAATGTACAGACACAGCGCCTTCCTTGTCTCTTGTGTCTCGTTTTTGTTTTCCCGCTGTTTTATTTTGCAAGACATTCAGTCAAGTCGCTTAACTTTCTGCCTTGTTGAGGTACCTAGCTCTTGGCTATGGCACCTGGAACGCGCTTCCGATTGCTGTATTTCATGCTTGCTCATTGGGGGTTTCTCAATTTCCGTTTGATGAAGCCACACTTGTGTCATGTGGTGTGCCTTGATTTGAGACTGTTTCTATAGCTGCTCCATCGGGGTATCGTGATTTATGGGCCGAGTTTTCTTCGTGAGCTGCAAAAAGGAAGCGCAAACGTCGATACTGTGTGCGAGCGTCTCCAATCCCCCTCCAAAAGTCATCCTCTTCACCACGCGACACGCACGCATACGCACAAGCATTCAATCTGCGCAGGTGTTCGCCATCAAATTGCCAACGTTTTTTATTTGAGTTGCTCCCTCTCTTAAATATGGGCTGTCTTTCATCACGCTGTAGCCTACCGCGATCCAGGCGGTGCGCAGTAACGGAGGTAGATATGGTGCAGAGACCTCTTCTCTTTTAAGTCGCTTTACAGCGTGACCCTTTACGGAAGCTTCATCAGCAGCCAGGAGCTGGGACGGTGCATCGACAACAACACTTGCGTTTCCTCCTCTTTTTGTTTCTTTTTTAGCCGGAATCTTTTGGATGAACCACCAGGATCGTGACATGCGATATGACACTCCCCACTTTTAGTGCCTGCGTGGTATAAAGTGCTGAACACTGAAGTTGAAGACGCGTACCAGGCGCAGTACTCATGGCTATAAGAGGTTTCACTGACACGCACGCTGCAATAAAACGAAACTCGTTTTACCAGCACGGTCTACAGCGAAGGCTACGGGAGCTTGTCAAAGTGCTGTAGACTTAACCTCTAAATAAGTCGGAGATTGCGTTCTTAGCATCCCCGCGGAATGACCGTTCTCTGCCGTGTAATAACAAGATAATCGAGCGCGTCTAGTGCATGATAAGGTCGCTTACAACGGTACGGCCCAAAAACGCGACCTGCACAGGAACTGTTCAATATCTCCTCGCCTATGGTATATTTGCTATGAGAATAAATGTTCCGAGTTCTGGTAGTCACTGTGCAAATTATCTCTTTAAGCGAAACCATTTCTCACAGCATTCAGCCTTTCGTGTGTTCTGCTGGCAAGTAGACGCGCAGGCATCTTCGTACTCCATCTTGCAGGTTGTGTGCAGAGCTCGAAGCTACTGGCGCGAGAGCGCCACTCTGTGTGGTGTTTTTTTCAGGAGTACTTGCGCCAGTAGATCACTGTTCTAAAGACTAAAGCCACGCGTTTGTGCCTTTGCCTCGTACAGCACTGCAGAGAATAAAGAGCGGAATCGTTCGTAAACATACAGAGCTTGTAACGGATCACAATGACGATGGTACAAAGCTTGCAACGGATCATGATGACTAGTATACACGAACTCAACTCTGTGACGTCATGGCGGGGTGGTGGCGCGTCGGGCGCACTTCCGGTCTGGGGCTGTGGGCAGAATTCCCCATGCCAGACGTGTGTTCCAGCATTGTTTTGAAAGGAACCAGACAAAAACCTGCCTTCTCGTCAAAACGCCGCGACTGTGGCCTTACCAAGAGTCGAGAAATGTTTGAAGGTCCGCTTTCACGTGCTCGGTTCGTCCGAGAATCCGGATATGTGTCGTGAAAAGGGAAAAGCAGACGCCGTCGGACAACGACTGCTTGGGCGGGAAGCACTTTGGGTTGAATTCATGAATACTTGTGGTCATCAGATTTATTTGTTTTGTTCCAACATGAACGTCAGAAAACCGTCAAGTTGCGCGGACCACCTGCGGACTACGTTCAGTGCGTCTTAAGTTCAAACGGCCTCCTGATCGTTCGAACTGTCGTCTGCTTTTTCAAATGTTTCTGCTTGTCGTCTGATCTCTTAGACGCCGGCCCGCAGACCAAATGTTGGCCCGGTACTTCCGATAAGAAGTAAGTGCAGGCTTCAAAAGGCTAGAGTTTGAATGTTGGTAAGCAGGCTCGATGTAAACAGTAGATACAAGGAGATGTTGATCATTGTTACCAGTGACTTGTTATGCCTAATTCACTTGGTCCGAATCAGCTTGCGATTTTCATTATCGAAGTCGACCATCTCAGCTACGGTTCCCGTTTTTGCAGCCCGAGAGGCATCGCAACTGAAAATTGCGAGCGAAACCGCATCATGGAAATCAGGCTTCAGCGTACATACTGCGGCGTCCACGCGGAATGAATCGCCCCATGTCACATTATCACGCGAAGTTTTGCGGTGTAACGAGCCTCGGTAATTTCGCTGACGCCGCTCAGGTAGTTAGGCATCGCCAGGAAGACGTAGAATCAACAATTCGAACGCGAAAAAGGGCAAGGGGACTCACACTGACGACGACAACATCGCATTTCGGTGGTTTGTTTATGGGCGACGGCGAGCTTCTTGCCCACACCCCCATCGCGCATGCGCGGCGCCTGTGGCGTCCGCTAGGGGCGCTCCGGTTTGTCGCATACTCTCGCATCAGGGAGATCAATTAGAGGGAGATGATGCGATACAATATATAGGAGCAGTGATGGAGGAGAAATTTCGGGAACGGGTACATGTGGAAGATAGGAGAACCGAAGGAAGTAGCAGTCCAGTTTGTGACATCGCGGATTTTGGACAAAGAGAATGGGAAAAGGCGGAACGAAGAGTCCCTAGTGGCACGTCGACAGGCACAGATGGTATCCCTATCAAGCTGGTGAAGAATTTGGGTCCTAAATCTAAGGCAAAACTAAGGGAGGTAGTGAGTACCATGATAACAAAAGGAAATATTCCAGATGAATGGAGGCTTAGTAGGATGAGTATGATATATGAGGGAAAGGGAGATAAATCTGATATTAGGAATTATCGTCCTATAACCGTGACACCGGTTATTTACAGGTTGGTAATGCAGATTATGAAGAACAGACTGGAGGAATGGGTAGATTGCGAGGGCATACTGGGCGAGTTACAGAACGGGTTTCGAAAACAAAGAAGGTTGGAGGACAATTTATTTTCTCTAACACAGTGTATAGAAATAGCGCAAAAAGAAAACAGACAGCTCTGGCTGGCATTTCTGGATATCAAGGGTGCCTATGACAATGTGAACCAAAGAAACCTGTGGAACATAATGGAGAACTTAAACCTAGATGAAGGACTAACAGCACTATTAAGGAACATTTACAAAGATAACAAGGTGATTATAACATGGGAAGGAAAGGCGACAGGGAAGATAGAGATAAGACGAGGCCTTAGGCAGGGATGCCCGTTATCGCCTTTGCTGTTTATGTTGTATCTGAGAGGATTGGAGGATAGACTAGAGAAGAGTGGGCTTGGGTTCAACCTTTCTTACAGTAAGCTAGGCCAAAAAATTCAGCAATCCTTACCGGGATTGATGTATGCGGATGATATTGTACTAATGGCTAACAACAGGACATAGTTGCAGGAATTAATGAGCATCTGTGGTAGGGAAGGAGAGGAATTAGGTTTAAAATTCAGTAGCGAAAAATCGGCAGTCATGATTTTTAACGAGGATGAAGTTGAGAGGCTGAAGATACAGAATATTACAGTTGAGAGAGCTAGTAAATACAAGTATCTAGGAGTATGGATAAGTGCTGGTGCAGAATATCTCAGAGACCATGAAAAGTATATTATAGGTAAGGGCAACAGAAATGCAGCTGTAATAAAAAATAGAGCACTTTGGAATAACAACAGGTATGAGGTGGTGAGAGAGATTTGGAAAGGGGTCATGGTGCCTGGCTTGACTTTTGGAAACGCAGTGCTATGCATGAAATCCGAAGTGCATGCGAGACTAGAAATAAAACAGCGCGGAGTAGGTAGGCTGGCTTTGGGGGCACATTGCAAAACGCCAAACCAGGGAGTACAAGGAGACATGGGATGGGCATCATTTGAGAGCAGGGAAGCGGTGAGCAAGGTAGAATTTGAGGATAGGTTGAGGCAAATGGACGGGGAGCAATGGGCACGAAAGGTTTTCAGCTATTTATACATGAGGAGTGTAGACACAACGTGGAGACAGCGCACTAGGAAAGTTTTTGGGCTATAGCGAAGATACGGAAGAGCAAGTCTCAGTTCAGAAGAAAGTTAAGGCCACAGAAAGAGATCGGTGGCTAGAGGGAATGCAGACAAAGACGGCTCTGGAAAGCTATAAATTAAACAAAAGAGTTATTGCCAAAAAAAGCATTTATGACAATTCTAGGGGAAGCTCATTGCTGTTTGAGGCAAGAACGGGTGTTCTGCGAACCAGAACATACAGAGTGAAGTACCAGGAAATTGATGCAGTGTGCACTGCTTGTGGAGAGGAGGACGAGACGGCTGAGCTCTTGATACTCTACTGTAAAGGGCTTCACCCTATGCCTACCGAAGACAACATAGATTTAATAAAGTCATTGGGTTTTAGAGACAGCGAAGGGAGAGTGGATTTCAAGACTGTAGAGATTACCAAGCAAAGATTAAGTGAATGGTGGCAGAAATCGAGAGAAAACTAGGTATTTTCTTATTCACTGATGGCAAGGGGGTTTCATAGCCTCACTTTCTTTGCACTGCGGAGTGAATATAGATTTCACATTTAAATATTCTAAGCGTGAATGGTAAAACAAAAAGGCTAGGTGGCGTAAGCTACCGCCCGATCCAAAGGGCTCAACCGTATTCATCCATCCATCCATCCAATGGCATGAGTTGGTGTATAGAGCTTGCAACGGATCATGACGATAAAGGTACAGAGCCTTCAACGGATCATGATAACAGTAATACAGGGCATGCAACGTATGATAATGACATAGGTACAGAGCTTGAAACGGACCATGATGACAGTGGTACAAAGCTTGCAACGGATCACGATGGCGCTGGTTTGCAGACGATGCGCAACATGGCTTCTCGCGGCCAAGCCCTGAAGGTCAACGGGCGCATTGCGGACTCGTCGACCTACTCGGACGCCATCTTCTACGTGTTCGACATGCAGCTGGTGCGTCGCTCGTTCAGCAGCCTCTCGGAGAGGGCTCACATTGCCCGCTACACCCGGGGGGCCACCGCACACAGTCGCAGCCACGTCCGCTACGGGACGCCCACCAAGAGCGCGTGAGTCCCCTGTCAACACTACCTGCAATAACCAAGGCCCGGGAACGACCTCCTCTTCCTCTATGGAACGTCATAACAGTGGGATGGCGCCAACTCAGCAGTCGGAGCTGAGCCCGATACCGAGCGTCCTTCGACGCGTTGATTGGACGCGAGGCCGAGCCGAACGCTGTCGCAGCGCTCGTGTCCAATCTGCGTCTTCGCTCGATCTCACTGGGATGACCGCAATATTCTAGCGTGCAGGCTTCGATTATTCTACAAGTGGTGTTGCCCCTGTGCGCCGAGAGGAAACAATGAGTTGAAGCTGCGTGGAACGCGTGTATGTCGTAACGCTGGCCTTTGAGAAGTGACAAAACTGCGTATTTTCCTCATTGGTTAGGGAGATTTATACCTTGTGATACAGCGAAGACTTTGAAAAATCACTAAAGGAGTGTGGTTGAAAAAACAATTTAAGGGAACAAATTGCCAGCAACGGCAGACGTCAAGGATTACATAAATCATATTAATTATCTAAATAATTATTATAATTTACTAAATTATTTTTAATTTGTAGAAATAAACATTTGGTCCCAATTAAAAACTTGCTGAGCATCACCTAAAACCACTAAATCGATTTGTTTTAGAAAAATAGAAGGCACATACAGCATCTTACGGCTTTCCGAGAAAACGTTTAATTTGGACGCGTGTTTAGCTTTTGGTTTCCTATAATCATAGCCTCCTCTATACTCACAAAGCCTGGCAGTTCGACGACGGAGCCACAGAGAGCCAGGTCGCAGATTTGGAGCGCGATGACCTGGTAGCACAAAGCATCAAAGAGCCATTGCTCGGGGAACCTGGACGTCAGCGCACACCTTTTGCAGCGGCGAGGACCCGAAACACACTTGTTCGCTCGGGAGAAGTGTGTTTCGGCGTCTTGCCGCAACGGGGTATTTATTATCTAATCGAGTGCGCATGTGCCAAAAAAAAAAAACTGCGTGGTATTTTTAATGGTACATATAAAACATACCTCTCAAGTAAAAGTAATAGTCAACTTATGTAAAACTTATTTTGACAAAATCACGAAAATGTTTGGACGGCCTTCGCTATCAATGTTATAAAAAAAAAAAAAAACAGTATAACCTTTAGGGCATTTTTTTTTCTATTTTTACAATAATAATTTGGGTATAAAGAAAGCTATTTCTATGTTTAACTCCTTACCGAAGTTCGATCGGTATGCTGAAAATTTAAAGGAGCAACTTCATCACTTAGCTGTATCTCGCGTGAGATAAATATGCACCCAATAACCACCCTCACAAAAAAAAAAGAACACGAAAACACACAAAAAAATAACTGTGGTAAAATATAATGTTTTTTTTAGGTGAGTGGTATAATATTAGGCTGTGAAAGAATTAAACATAGAGGGACAGACCACGGAAAGCGCTGTGCTGCCGTGCTCTGTCGTTAAGTTTTAGACAATATAATAAACCACTCTGCACTAGTGAAGCACTACAGTTAGTTTTTCAATACGAATTAACGCCTCTTTTGTTCGCTTAAACTATCAAAACTAAGTTGTTTCAGAACCTTCGCATAGAGATCCCGAAAACGCCGTGTAAACAAAATATTTGTTTGCTGCCGTCGGGAGAAAAGCAAAAAGGGCGACCAGAAAGTTTAAACAATCCACAAACTAATTCTTACAAGATATGTTTGCCAGAGGAAAAATGCGATGACTTTTTTGTGTGTGCTTGTAATGAGTCTGTTTAGATAAAACCACAAACTGATATTAAATGCACATTCAAATTATCGTTTTAAGTCGCGGCATAAAAGAAACCAACCTTATAATTATGATTTTTCGTTGTACTCAAGACATTGTATGCTGAGAGTTTTGTTTTTTGGGCTTCGAGAAATCAGTTGCGTTCCTCGATTGACCAGGGTCACTGCAAAGCGGGGTGTGAAGAGGACCCTGGACGTGAGGCACGGTTCCGGTAATGCGGTCTTCGTGGCTCCCAATGGAGACGCCATCGCCTTCTCCGCCAGCATCGGCATGCTGTAAGAGCCACAGAAACAGAAGAGAAAAGAAGAAGGAAAAAAAAGCACTACGATTTCGTTATTATGGCATGTTAAGATAACACAGAAATCCAAAAGAAGTGCTTCTAAGAAAGCTTAGTGTGCCGTGATACCTCCAGCGAATCATCGGTAGTCTCGTGTACGGTGCATCAATGTGGGCACACCAGTCTTCGGGTCAAATCGAATATTTTGGAAGAGGAGGGATCATAAAAGCGGATATGTTACGAAGATACGAGAGGTCAGGTACTTAGATCCTATTCTTCCCTGCCGGCGCGTCTTCTGGAGCGAGCGAAATTCTCGTACCGAATCAAAAACGTTAATGAACTTTAAAGAAAAAAAAAATCCAGTTTCACAGGTGCTGGTGGCAGGCCCGCACCGCTGGGTGGTCTTCGTGTCACAGGGAGTAGATTGCGCTATCGTGGCACGCTATCATTCGGGATGATTCATCTTTGCAACTCTGCGGGAGTACAAGACTTTAGCGAGTGTTTTCTTTTTCTCTGTGAACGTTTGTGCAAGTCGTTTTGGAGTAGAGCAAACGCTACGACCCCCTGGAGCTAATCAGAACGACGGAGGCGTAGCACGTGACAGTCCTTACCAGAGCTACAGGGGCGAGAGCGACCCCCAAGTAGTTAGACAATAGGGGAAGGGAGAACTTCCCTCCTACGCGAACCCTCTTTTGAGTGTCCCAGACGTCGCTCTCGTTCTGCTGAGAGATTAGCCCGTCACTCAAACTTCGTACAAAAATGGCTTTCCTCTCTCCCACCCGTGGCTTCGACAGCTCTGATCGCGACTGGAAGAGAATAATCACGTGCCTCCCTCCGACGCACTGATTGGCTCAGAGGGACGGTATATCCTTCGCCGTTTGCCAAGCCACGGTGAGACGGAGCATAGCGGTGTACTCATCTCCCGAGATGAATAAGGGTTTCCGCCCAGAATGACAAGAAGGTGTCATTCTGGCTCCCAGAATGACACCTCCTTGTTCGTCGGCGATTGCTCGGTCCGGGCTGCAGACTGGGCTCCCGCGAGGCGTCTTCTTCGACGGGACTGGTGCTGAACAACGCCTTGCACTCGTTCACGGCCCGGGACCCCAACCGCTACCTGGGCCACGCGGGCGTGTCCCTGAACCACCCGCGGCCGGGCAAGAGGCCCCTCTCGCCGCTGGCACCCTGCGTCGTGCTCGATGGGGACCGGAACCTGATGGCCGCCGTCGCCGCCTCGGAGCTCTTCCAGGTGCCCCAGTATTCGGCCACGGTGAGCAATGCCCCGTTTCTTTCTATCGACACACAACGTACTATCGAGGACAACTTCTGAGACAGTCCTTCGTGCTTCTTCGGGGTAGGCTTTGAAAGAGCTGTGGTTCGATCTAGGGATGGAACGCAAAGTTAATTAATGTTCCATACTTTGAACTTTCTTGAGAAATTGAAAGATAATGAAGCTTGTTGGGAACACAGGCGTACAAACAGGACGGATCGGATGTTTTAACTTATTTCGCCCACGGGGGTACGCGTCAGGCACGTAGCGATTCCGAGTCAAGAGGTCCAACGAGTCAAAAGATCCAACGCGTCAAAAGATCCATTATTGGATCTTCTGACTCGTTGGACCTTTTGACTCGTTGGACCTCTTGACTCGCCGTGGACCTTTTGACTCGTTGGACCTCTTGACTCGTTGGACCTCTTGACCCACATTGGCTCTTTTGACTCGTGTCGGGCGAGTCAAAAGATCCATTATTGGACCTTTTAACTTGTTGGACCTCTTGACTTCCTGTCCGATAACGGGGAAAAGAGGGGGGGGGGGGGGGGGAGGTGAAGGGCTTCGAAGAAAGTTGGAACAAAAACAGCAGGAAAAGAAAGAAAAGCCAAACAACGATGAATGGCGGCTTTTGGGTGGCTAGGAGGGGGTGACGGTCACTGCACTGCAACGAGTTGGGATCCCGCGAATAATAACAAAGCAAAAAAAAATGATGATGGGAGAAGATGATGCAGTGACCTCGGGAACGACAGGTTTTGGCATCCTAAATCGGTGGCCACGTCACGGCGTTGTGCGTTTTCCATTTCAATCGGCTGGTGATCAACGTAATCTCTTCGTGCTGTATGCTTGACTACCGCAGGAATTTCCCAAAAATTTTGCGCGCTGTACTAGCTTGAAAGTCACTACACAAATGCACACGCGCACACTAAAAGTGCAAAGCCGTGAGGCACTTTGCGATTGATTGGACTAGACGGTAATAGCATACACAAAAAAGTCGACGCACGCCATGAACCTGTTTTGTTTTCACCATTGCTTAATGGGTCCTGTCAGCTCGTAGCGTCGGCTGCACTGTAGCTTTAGTAGAACGTAGTCTAAACGTGGTCGATAATATTTTTTTTATAATTTCGAATTGAGGTGCAAGAAATGCGGTGCAATGGTGGTGCAAGAAAAAATATCCACTTGATGAATCAGACATTATCATAAACATACTACATATTTTTAGTGGCGTGCGTGCAGACATGTATGGCTACTGCGTGATGCACGTTAGACCACAGGCTTGTAGTGGTACTGCATTGTCAACATTTTTCGTCTACAACGTAAACCAGTGTCGCCGCTCCTCAAAAGCAAACCGACCTGACACTGAATAAACACAAACCTCAAATATATTTTTCGTGATTGCGTGTTATGCAACAGCGTCTTTGTGTGTCACCATATTTAATTCTGACGTAGCCAGGATAGAGGAAATACGACTTTTTTTTTTTTTTTAATTAGCGTTCTATCAACATTTCTTCTGTTATTTATTTTTTTTTTTTTTTTGAAAATTAGCCTTCTATCGGAATTATTTATTTTATTTTCGTCGGGCAACGTCTAACGTGTTACACGATGTTAAAATATTTTAGAAAATTTATTCTGCTAGTGAAGGGCTGATTGACCGCATGCGCATAAGCCATCACATGATACTTCAGTTTAGTGAGCGTATTTCACTCACTTGAGTCAACGCTCGATTCTTAGATTCGCAGGTGAGCTTTTCTCAGCAACGGACAGTTTGGCGGTGAGCTTTTCTCCGATGAGCTTTTCTCCAGTGAGCTTATCTCCGGTGAGCTTTTCTCCGGTGAGGTCTGCTCCGCCGCCCCGCTGGTGGCACAGCGGCACATCTTTGATAAACCGTTATTATCTACCCGACAGTCTACTTATCTTGAAAATGGTGCCTATTGACAACATCTACTGAATAGACTTATTGCTCAATTACCCAAGCATCAAGGGGAATGCACGGAATGGTGTTCCAGGCGCCGCACGTGCTGTCGTCTGCAGCAGTAACTGTTCTAAAGCAAAAACCTAAAACAAATGGTATCTTGCACGCGCGTTCGTCAACGCCTTATTTTGGTTATTTACTTCGAATCTTTTATACGGGGAAGGCGTGCGCGCGCGGCGTTGCGAGCGTAGAGTTTTTGGTTACGCACACGAAAAATCCACAAAACCCTGGCCATAAAAAGCTTCGCTTAAAAAGCTCGCCGTTTACTATCTCTCCGGACATAATAAGGTCACCGATTTTTAGGTCCTGGATAACTTTGTTTACAAACATCGCCACTCAGTTCGTTTTTTCGCCTGCCTTTTTTGTTTAGATGTTGGCAATTTGTCTATTGTCAGCTTGCTAGCCCCCTAATTATTCGTGACTCCAGGAAAATCGAAGTCACCCCAAGACAAAGGTGACGCGTTTTGAAAGCAGCTATCGCGGTTGTATGCTCGTTCTGCTTCGTCTTCGATGACGATATTGCTGTAGCAGCCGGGCTAGTGGTGCTTCCGCGACGATGAAAATGAAGCATCTAGGCGCGAACACACAGAACGAGACACCACGAGCAGCGAGATTCGGCGACCGAGCGGCCCGGCGGCTACATCGAGCGATGCCCAGGACAGTTTCATTTCTTTTGTAAATATCGTACTGTAGCAGCCGAGCTAGTGGTGCTTCCTTGCTTTAGGGGCAAAAAGTCACGGTTCAGCGAAACTACAACAAAATGAGGAGAATCCCCTCCGGCCCTGCCCTAGCCGCGGAGAAATCGCGAAGGGGACTAATCCCCTTTCCTCCTGCAACCGCTTGTGCCGGCCAAGAAAATACGCGCGTGACGTGAACTGAGCATTCCTACGCACCACAAAGTAGTTCACAAAAATAATTTCTTTTAAAATAACTGTTTTGGGCGTAAAAACTGCACAATGTTCCAGATGTGTACTGCTGAAAATGATTTGCAACTAAAGGAATCAAACCTCTGAAGTTTATGTTTCTATTAATATATGTAAATGCATGTGGTTTGGGGAAAACATGTATATCCGCTGGCAACACGGCTGCAGCGCCCGGTTTTTCTGTGATTTCGTTCCCGTAATCGCCGAATCATGTGCTTCGCTGCTTTCCTCATCGATGGTCGAATCGCTTCAAAACGCCCTTCGTAAAGGCACGTTTGGGCGTCAGGCGCGAGAAGTCGCGCTGAATGCCTACTTTCAAATTCGGCAGGAGGCTCCGGCCGCGTTGTACCGCGAATGCGTTGTAAACAAGCAAAGCGTCCGGGCCACAACAATTCAGATACGCGGCGAGATCAGGGCACCCCTTTACCTGCCGATCACATTGAACGCCGAGAAGCTGGTGGAAAGGACTGCGCCTCGAGCCCTGGTATATCCAAACAATACAAGGAAACGTCAACGGCCGGGTCATCGGGGGGACCTTGCAACGTGTACTCACAACTCGAAACTATGCCGAACAGGTGGAAAGCTCGGACACAAATGCCAGCGGCCAGCGGCCAGCCTACGTACTGACATCCCCTGTGACTAAGTTTCAGAACGTGAAAGGGCACTTTTTAAACCGTCGCAGACGATACAGTTGGTACACCCGTAGCAGACGAAATACTCGGCGAGAGCGGGCGGCGCGGCGCGGCCGACCGGCGGCGCAGCGGAGTGATACAAAAGTGCAGGCGAGATCGCGTGACCTATTGCAGGCGTGTGATTGGCTCCGGCCACACGTAGCTTTGGCTGCGCTCGGACGGAAGCTGAAACGAGTTGAATAAGTACGTGCTCAATTTGAGGGTACATTTTTTTTTAATGTTGTCGTGAAAACGTGAACAGACGCGTCAAAAAACTCATATTCTTGACTTTTGTCACGCAAAGTTTTAGTGGCGCATCTACCCGAATCGAAGAAAAGCGCTCCCTCCCCACTCCCCAAAGCCAGCGACACAAAACCGGTCTCCGGGTAACCCCTTCAGGCCCGTTTTCCGGCCGCCAACAGGGAAACGGTGCGAAGTTCAGCGGCGCGTCAAACTTAAATCTGTCTCACTTTTTTTTTTTTTTTCAACAAATACTACGGCACTTAGTAAAAAAAATGTTTTCTGATCTTTAATGTTCAACGTCTCCTTGCACTAGGGGAAAACTGGTGAGGAGCTTTTCGCGACCCCCTTGCAATATGGCGCGGCAGTTCTCGAGTAATTGGCCCTCTTGACCCGCATTGGATCATTTGACTCGCGTCTGCCGAGTCAAGAGGTACATGTTGTACCTCTTGACTCGTAGTATTTGTTGAAAAAAAAAAAAAAAAAGTGAGACAGATTTAAGTTTGACGCGCCGCTGAACTTCGCACCGTTTCCCTGTTGGCGGCCGGAAAACGGGCCTGAAGGGGTTACCCGGAGATTCATTATTGGACCTTCTGACTCGTTGGGCCTTTTGACTCGCCGTGGATCTTTTGACTCGTTGGACCTCTTGACTCGTTGGACCTCTTGACTCGCCGTGGATCTTTTGACTCGATGGATCTCTTGACTCGTGGGACCTCTTGACCCACATTGGATCTTTTGACTCGTGTCTGGCGAGTCAAAAGATCCAACGAGTCAAAAGATCCATTATTGGACCTTTTGACTCGTTGGATCTTTTGACTCGATGGATCTCTTGACCAGAAGCGGCACGTAGCCAGGGGGGCGGCCCATGGGGCCCGCCCCCCCCCCCCCCCGAAATCTTCCGATTTTGCTGGGATCTCCTCTCGCCCCTCCCCCTCATACAGCACTTTGTCATTGGCGCCCCCCCCCCCCCCCCCCCCCCCCCCCCGAAACGAAATCCTGGCTACGTGCCTGGTACGCGCCGATATTGGGGTCCCGGTTTAAGTTGTAAAAAGGAGCTCCTGTGATATTTTGTGAGTAACTAATCTGCATGAAAAAAGGGTTCAATGCATTAATGGACAGACCCGTACTAGTAACCAAAATTGCAGGTCAGAGTAAAAATTTTCTCTCGAGGTTGGTCTGAGAGGCTGTGAGCCTCTACTGGCAACACTGGAAACGTGAGGTGAAATGATGTAGGGTAGTACAGCTTGTTCCCAAATGGTTACAAGAGGTGTGATGGTGTGTGAAGAAAGCCGGGGAAACTCACGCCAGCAAAACAAGAACAGAACTAGCAAAAAAACGCGCAATGTATTCTTTTTTAAGGAATGCGGGATTTTTTTATTCGTTTTGGGATGAACTACGTTTTTTGTTTTCGCAATAGCTATTTGAGTTTAGAGATAACGAAACAGTATGCCGGGAAGAGTACTGCCTAGGAATTCCAAAGATGTGTTCAGTCTGGGAACTCAAATGTACAGGAGCTTTCAACTGTTCGAGGGCGCCGTCGATAAATAAGGAGTTCAACTGAAGCAAGGTGTGTAGTTGGGTCAGTCGCTGCTTGATCAGAATAAATACAAAATACGAGGACATGTTCCTGGTGTGGACTTCTACGTGTCCTTGTGTCCTTGGTGCTGTTGTGGTTTTTTTTCGGGTTTAAATCAAATTAAATTAGTTTTAAACCAGCGGACGAATCGAAGCTTGAAAAACCAGAAACAAATCCAACTTTTTTTTTTTTAGGATGCATATTAATTTTTAGCCCATGATTTTGAATTGCAATGACACCACGCCCGCATGCAAGAGTCAGTTGACGTGCTTTAATTGAAAGACGAATTCAGTTTGTTTTACCAGAATTAAGAATGGTACTGCCTAATTGCGAGATCAGAGCTTAAACCAACCACTCCATTTGCTATTCAGCGCGTTTAAACACCGGACGCCGGCATTCGAACAGTAGGCGAAGACGTGCCTTGAGTCTCCCCACGGTCCTCCCTAGAGCCACTAAATGAGCTGCGCTTAGAGTATCGGCACTCCGTTCCCCGACATTGTTGTGGGCGCCGCCATATTGGGGCTTGTGCAGAGCAGACGCAATTGCGGATCGTCATGATTCAAAAGTGCGACTTCCTCAGCATTCGATTCGGTGTTAGGAAGCTCATGTAATATTGATTTTCTCTGTCGTGGACTGTTTATACATTTTTGGAGGACGGAAAAGCGTTTCCTGGGATTTCAGATAAAGCTTCAGATAACTGGCAACCATGATTTTAAGCCACAATATGGCCAAGTGTCGTTACTCTGGAGCGTATAGCTTATTTAGTGGCACTAGTCCTCCCGATCGGAACATGGCGTTCTGAGGTCCCCGCGCACTCCCGCCTCCTCCACTCGCTCGGTTTATCTCCGTGTAGTGACAGGCCATGCGTTTTCTTGACAAAATGTCGCAGATCCTGCTCGAGCTCCTCTTCATGAACAAGACTATGACGGACGCCATCAGCGCCCCCAAGGTCCGCTATCGCGCCAACGTCAAAGGGGTGCTCCACGACGTCGATCTGCCACGGGTGAGAACACCGACTACCTCGTGGATCACTGCCCTGATCGATCCCGCCCAGAAGACAGGGATTATGCCTTTCCTCCTCTAACGCCATTCACTACAGAGCCACTGACAGAATGAGAACGACAAGGCGTTTCTCTCAGATGCTCGGCTCGCGCTCGTTGCCTTCCGCTGTGCTTAGTCTGCGCGTGAACGTTCGAGGCTCGCGAGACAACGAAGGCTCGCTCTGGAGGTAAAACGACTGACAGACGACCCTGCCGTTCTCATGGTAGGAAGTTTTCGTCGATCGTTCCGCGATGACTCCGATAACGATACTCCGCCGACGCCTTTGAGCGTGCATCGTATCGTTATCGGAGGTATCGGGACGATTCGCTAAAACTCCCTAGTGCCAGTGATGTTTCGGCAGCGCCCTCGGCGTTTGTCACGCCATCCACACACGTGAGGCCATAATTAGGGAGTGTTCGTAGATGGTTTTCGCCGCCCCGCAACGCTCGCCGCAACCCGCCGCTACGATACCCGGAACTCTACAGTCAAGGCCATCGGCGCGCAGGCGCGGTATCGGCTTCTTCGTTGCGGAGGGCTTAGCAGAGGGGGAAACGCAGTCTATGAAAACTCCCTATAGGGGGTATTCACTGGACGCCATTTCTGAGGGTGATGTTTAGAGCGCTTGCTCAGAACGAACTCACAGTGATAGGCTGATGAGACGAGCAGTCTTGATGGTGCGGAATGCACCTTGTAAAAGAACTGCGGAAGCTCGCCGTCAGCACGCGCTCAGCAGTCGCGCACACAGCTATGGCCGCCAGTGAATACTCCCTATTATGACGTCTTGCTAGCGCGACAGATACCGAAGTTTGTTCGTTGACAAGACAAAATTTGTTTGCCGACCTGAAGAAAGTTCGGCCCATGTGCCAACAGACTGCTTACAAATAAGCCCGCGTTTACCGACACTAAGTGTGGGCATTGCGCATGCGCAGAAACAAGATCGGCAGAAGCGTCTCCGGATGCCAGACATGATGACAGCAGCGCCACAGCAGCTGCTTGAGCCACGCGTTGGTCTATACTACTATATATTTTGTGACCCTCAAGCGCGAACAACGTATCTAAAAAGATGCATCTACATTTTGATATAAATTGTCCCTGTCCTCCCACCATCTTTTGCAACAAAACGTTATAAAACGACGGAGGAACGCTTCTCTTTCCTTCCAGTCAATGGTCCTGGAGCTGCAGAAAAAGGGCCACCGCATGTTCCTCATGGACGACAAGATCACCAACGCCGTCGGCGTGTCCGTTGACGACGACGGCAACCTGTATCCGGGTGTCAACGAGCGCGTGGGCGGATACTTGAATGGCCAATGAGCCCCGGGCAGGAAGGGACCCCGTGGATGCAGACACGATCGTCCCACCCTTCCCTGTGTACATATACCTCGCGCGACACAGGCACCTTCGCCACAATACTCCAGTGCGAGCAAACAAGGGGACAGCTGCACTGTATGCCCATTTGTACAGTAGAAAAGTAATTCAGTGTTTCAATTAATAATGTGTGTAATGGAATCCATTCCAAGTTTATTTTCCTCAAAGAATCATAAACTCGCCGTCATAAATGTCTACTGAAGCGAGCATACACTGCGGTATGCGCACGTGCAACCAGGTTTGTTGCTATGGCTGGGTGCGAGGACACCCATTTTCTTAAATGTTTTGCTATGTACCTTTTTTTTTCATTTTTCTTTCATTGAAAATGCAAAAATTGAAGTGAGTCAAATCTATTCTAACCGGAATATTTATGTTTCTCGTACATTTATTCAAATGAGTTTCCACTATGCGAGCGCGAAGGATTCAATTGCCAATGCATATCTTGAAAGAAAAATAAAACGCATCGCAGTTGCGCAATAAAGGTATTTGTAATACATTACAAGCACCAGTGATTGTGCGATTTCATTACAACCCTTCGGCTTAGCATACAATATATTACTTGCGTTCCCAATTAATGAAAATATCAGCAGGGATTACTTTTAGGAACCATTCCAGATAGCTTCTTTTCTCAAAAGCGTGCGTATTCGAGCAGCTACTCTCTTGATTTGCAAGAGCAGTTGAGCAAAAAATAAATCATGCATTTTATGTTTTACTTGGGCGAGTGCTCGTTTAAACCCACAAGATTTGGCCTTATATTGGCGACAAAAAGCGTCGCTGTGATTGGCCTTCCACTTTACCTTCCACAAATGATGAAACGCTCACGACGGAAATAAGAGCAAAGACAGATTCTCAATTCTGACGGTGTTGATTTAAAAACACGATGACCAGGCTTCCACCTCGCTTTTTATGCTCCATCGAACTTGTCGTTCGCTTCTAATCAACTTAGTCGTTACGTCAGCGATAGGAATCAAGGGATGGAGCCACGGAAACATCTCGTCGCCAATGGACCATTCTGGAAACGCCAGTGCCGCCAGTGAACGCTCCGGTGCGTTATGGGAAATGTAAGGGCGTCGCACCCTATAGCCAAGCCAAATCTAGCCTAGTCGAGCCTTTACATGTAAGGTGGCGCACGCTACCGCCTTCAAACGTTAAGACGTGTTGTGTTTTTCTTTTTTTTTTTTTTTTATTGGCGGAGGAAAGTATGATTTATTAACTATTAGCGGCGAGATGTTTCGGTGGCACCCTCGTTTGGTTACCTTTCGTGACGTCATTACCTTGTGAACGACAAGTTCGATGGTGTTAAGGCCCGTTCAAACGATGCATTTTTCTTGCGCATCTAGTGTCGCGAAACGTAGTTTCGCGAAATGGTTGCGCCGTCTGAACGAGTCTGAAAAGGACGCGCGCATCTAAAAAAAAGTTGCGCGCATACCTCGCTTCTGGAGCGAGCTTTTGCTGAAACTTTGACGAGTCCTGTCAATCACTCTGGGGGCGCCGCCAATGGCCGCTCAGAAACGCTCTCACGTGGCCTTTGAGGGGGGAGCGAGCTGTTTGAGAAGACCACTTCACTGCCGGTGTTGTAGCCGAGCCAAATCTGAAAAAAAAAAATGAAACCACGAACGATGGATACTGGTGGCGCTTCCGCAAGCACGTCAAGCACCACTGAAGGAAAAGTGATTAGCATATCGGAAAAAAATCTAGCGATGGACGAAGACGTAATTGGTGATGATGGTAATTCGCGTCTATTTTTAGTCATAATTAAGAAATAAAACCTTGAGACAAGGAAACAAAAAGGGACGTACACAGTACCGTACAGCTCTCATTTACTTCCACAACAGTCTTCTTTGTCAACCTCCATCCAAATTATACATATTCAACAGTAAATAAAGTAAATGGCAGTAAATGACAATTCAACTAGTAAAGGACAATTTAAGAGTAAATTAAGTAAATAGAAGTAAATGAGAGCTGTATGCTGTGCTGGTTTTAAGACGGTGGTGTGTATGTCCCTTTTTGTTTCCTTGTCTTAAGGTTTTATTTCTTAATTATGATTGTTCACCAGCTCGCCTGCGTTTTGACTCTTAGAATGTGGCGGGAGATGGAGAACACGACGCTGAATGGCTAATGGTGATGATGATGATGTTGGCTTTCAACTGAAGCGCCACTTTATGGTCAACACCCAAACTATTTTCGCGAGTCTAAACGTCATCGTTGTTGCACGTGAAGCGGTACGTGTGAACGAGCACATTTCGCGAAACTTGAGTGTCGCGAAACTGTTGCGCGCCTAAAATATGCATCGTGTGAACAGACCTTTAGTAATGGGCATGGTGGAAGCCTGAAATCATAGCGCTCTCAAAGCAACACTGCCAACACCGTCAAAATTGAAGTTCTTACATTCCTCTTATTTCCGTCGAAGAGACCTCCTTTAGTGACGTCATAGCCAGCATTCGGCCAATTGTGGTAGGTCAACCACGGCGACGCTTTCGATCGCTCACGTCGTCAATACTTCGTTTCAGCTAAAGTCCACATGCAGCCGGTGCTACAAGCGCGAGCTCCGCGCTGTCAGCGCCTCTGCCAGGCACGCACGCCCGTGCATGCAAGGACTGTTCAGGCATAAGTTCGACGACAAAACCATAGAGTGCCATAGAGTAGCTCTTGCGACTACCGCGCAAACTAGCAGTAGCTCCTCAGATGGCCGTACGCCTTGCGAGCTCATACAACTCGATTTTGAACAGGCCTTTGATAAGGTTGACCACTGCATCCTATTGCAGAGGCTCTCCGACATAGGAATATCCGGCAGCTCCTTGAAATAGTGGGTGTGAGTGTCACGTGACCTTGGAGAAGGGGCACAGCGACGCGCCGAAAGCGTAGCACGGGCTACGTCCCCAGAGCGGGAGTGGCTAGCATAGCTCGTAGCGTCCGCTGCCTCCGGACGTAAGGTGAAACGGAGTAGGGCCCCGGATGGCGGGATGGCCTAGCTACGTCACTAGTAGCGCCACCTCTCTACGTCTCCGTTTCTTTTTTTGTTTCTTAGATATGTGTTTCCTTTCTTCGCGTTTTGTCGGTTGGCGTTAAAGGGGTACTCCACCGATTTTTTGAGCTACCTCAACTAACTATATTTTCTGACTCCCCGGCCTTTACTCTCTCCGGTATGCTATTTAGAATCGCGAAATTCCTAATAGGCATTGTGAAATCGACAAATGAAAATGATGCAAAAACCAACATTCAAATATACGCGCGCTTTTCAGTGCCGTGACGTCAGTGGCAGGCAGGCTTGCCAGTCGAGCGAGCAGTCTAAAAAATAGAATATGCCAATCATTTGTTCCGTGCTGGAGCGCGGGTACTGCAGCGAGCTTCCCAGGCATTCATTTGACACCATGAAATCGCTTCGAATCAGTTGGGAACAAATTCTACAGCCCAAAGAGTGAACCCCTGCCTTCCACTGACGTCACTTCCATTGTTGCCAGTAGAGACTTCGAGCTTGAAAAACACGGTGAGGACCAAAACTGTAAATTCAATAACTTCGTGAAAAAACAATATTTTGACCTAATATTTGGGATACTATTTTCGCGATGTTTGTTGGTTAGTTTAGCAAAATTTCAAGCAAATCGGAGACAATGGAAAAACCTGTGGAGTACCCCTTTAAAGGGATACTACAACGAAATTTCGGCGCTCATTTTTTGGTCTATATGTGTTCAAAAGAGCAGTACCACATGGAACATACCAATATCTTGATAAAAAAGTTTCGAAAAGGAATTTTAAAACGAATTAAACGATTAGCAAAGAGCACCTGGTGGATGTCGCTAACGCCTCGTTTGTAATGGTCGTCTAGGAACTTTGACATCTAGTGACGGAGGTTGTCTCGTCTCCGGCCACGACGAGAGAAGGGGGGAGGGAGGAACTCCCCTCTTCCTGAGAACCCTTTTGTGTGTCGCAGAAGTCGCTATTGTCCCCCTAGAAGATTATACAAGATTAACCCGTCACTCAAAATTCGTACAAAAGCAGCCGCTTCGGTGGCTGGAACGTACGACTAGGCCATCCTCTCGACGTCAGCCTCGCCGTAGCTTTGCTCGTCTTGAGACGACCTACGTCACGATTGCGTTGGATGTCACGTGCTCTAAGCTGAGCCTTCTCCGAGCGCTTGCCAGAGTGGGCCGTTTATAACGAGAAATAGAGCCACCAGGATCAAAATACAAACGTGCGATTGTCATTTACGGATATTGTGGATCATATTCAACCTATTTTTGAACACGACGGGAATATTTCAAATTTCATTGAAGTATCCCTTTAAGGCCCGTTCACACTCTTGCAACCGAGTACGACCGAGAGAGACGAGACCAGTTTTTAAGCCTTTTGCGACTTCTTAGGACCCGATGCGACGCAGCGGAGCTGGTCCTAAGAGATCGCAAGAGGCTTAAAAACCGGTCTGGTCTCTCTCGGTCTAACTCGGTCGCAAAAGTGTGAACGGGCCATTAGGCTCAGCTGCCTGGAAGCGGCGTTTACGACTGAGCCAAGTGGGCTAACATTTTTGTAATGAACCGCCGCAGCGGGAGGAGGGGAGGGGGGAGGGGTTAATATAGTAATTTTGATATTGTAATGTAAAAACTTCAATTTTAACGGCGTGGGCAGCGTCCTTTTAGAGCGCAACGATTTCAAGCTCCCACCATGGTAATTACAAAAACCATCAACATCATTGTTCACAAGGTAATGACGTCAGGAGAGGAAAACATCAGGAAACTACAGGGAACCTTAGGTGAGCGCCACCAAAACATCTCGCCGCCGATAGATTGATTGCTAAATTACTCAAGCATCAAGAAGCATGCAGTCAACGTTACACGCGTTGCGCGTGCTAGCGTTGGCAGTAGCATTTGCTTAAAGGGGCCCTGCAGTGACTTTTTTACTGTTTTTTAATTTGCACTGAACCTGGGCGCCCGGAACATAGTAACTCAGTG